ACATATATATATATATATATATATATATATATATGGCTACAGAGGTGTTTCTCTTCAGGGGTGGGGCTATACAAATTGGCAGGCCAAATGCATTATGGGCAATGTAATTTGGATTCTCACTGTGAGCTAGACTGGAACATGCAACCCAATGCAATAATTTAGTCTACAGAAAATGAGAAGTATAAAGTGCAGAATTGCAAAATGTGAATCACTGGCTACAGATGCACATCAGATGTTTAAAGTCAATGAACTAGAAAATTACTAATTTAAAGACCCCGTGTTTTCATTGCCTTTGGGAGTAATAGTGATGGTATTCGTGAATGCTTTCTGCCAAGACAATAAAATGATGTTAGTACAGTCAGTGCAATGTTCACAGAATTTCAGTTCATCCAGGCCTTAATGTTTGTGTTTAGTCTCTCTTGATTAAAGTCAGTCATGGTAAAACCCAGGGGTTCAATGTAGTTACTCGGTGCGATTTAGGCCCTGTCCCAATTGATCTAGAGAAACAACAATGCCCTCTGAGGTACCATAAAAGCTTATTTTTAGGCAGGTATAACATTCCAGATATAAGATGGTATACCATCTGAGACTTTCCTATTTCTTACATCATCCTGCTGAAATATACAAAATACTTTTTCTCTGCTGACACCTGTCACAATTAAGCTCAGAATACAACATGTTAAATGTGGTGCTTGGGGATATTCGAGCAAACAAACAGTAATACTTAAAAAATTCAATGAATAAACTAAATATAGTTGTTATGACTCACTGTGAAATTGAAAGTAAAATGGTCTACCTTTATTTGAACCTTTCTTAGACACTTCGTGCTGATGAATGGTTAAAGATTTTAAGCTATTCATCAATGCTGGATGTTGTCATTTATGCATGACTTGCATGAGGCTCTGTAACAAGACTGCAGCGTGAATGTTTCCCTGGAGAAAGCGCACAGTCAATATATTGGTAGTTGAGAGTGCAACTTTCTGCTCCATTTCTTGAAATCGGTCAGTTTACTGTCCCCTCAAGATACAGTGGTGCATTATTTAGGTGTCCGTTATACACACAGACTCTGACACTTTAATGATCCTTAAATAAATATGTTTAACCTGTTGATCATGAGCCAAACCACTGAATTATTCATTGTCCCAGTGTTTCACTGAATGATATTACGGTGTAATACACTCTCTGCACAGTTATGTTGTTTTGTACCTCAGTTTTCATGCCTGTAAAGGATTTTTTTCCCAGGACTTGACATTAATATATGCTTTTGATATATTTAAAGGTATGTTTTATTCACTGAACAATGACGGTTGTTGTGCCCAAAAATCGTACTTTGAAAATGCATTTTATTAATTTACAGTACATTTAAAGTTTGATTGCACAGTATAAGACATTTAAGAAAAACAGTGAGACTTGATTTGATTTACTCTGACTTGCTAATTACGTTGTTTAACCCATAATGACCAGGGTGATTACTTGTTTTTAGCATGTTTGTGGCTCATAACATTTCTGGCAATCTGATTAAACGCTCAGAGCAATACAGTTAATGCCTTTAGAGAGGCATGTTTGCAATATGTTATTAAAAGTGATTAAAATATTTAGCAATTTTTTCATCACTTTATTATGACAGACGCTTCAGTGTTGGAAAATATGTCTGTAATATTATTAAACTACCTGTGAGCTGGTGTTATGATTGGGCAAAGAGCAGGGATCCAAATGCAGCAGTTTATTCAAAGGGTAATCCAAGAACACAATCCAAAACACAGGCAAGGGTCAAAACACAGGTAATCAGTCCAAACAAAACCAAGCAGGGAAAACAATGTACAAAGAAACCACGAAGGAAATTGGGGTAACACATCCACAACGAATGACAAGGACAGACTGAGAGACACACAGCTTTATACACAGGGGCAAACAAGGTAACAAGGGGGCGTGGTTAATCAGTGTCCATGGCAACTAACAAGGTGGCAGCCTGGCAGGGAAACATGAGGTGAACAACACTAGAGACACAGAACACAGGCAGGGATTGTGACAGCTGGAAAGGGATTTACTAGACCTCGGCATCAATATTTCCATCACTACACAATTTCTTAAGTCACTTTCCACAGGCTGTTTAATACAGCATGAAAAAGATTGCAAACAAGAACATAGCAAAAGTACATTCTTTGAGAAGTCAACAATATTTATAATACATTGCATCAGCTGAGAATTGGGAGCGTTTGGGTTCTTTGCACACTACTTCATCAAAGCAAAAGGATTTCAGCTGTGGCATGCTAACACTTCTTTTATTTTACATTCTTTATTGAGAAGAAACAAATTAAATGCTTTTCTTTTCTTTGTTTTAGTTAGTTGGACAATAAATTATGAGTGGTAACTTACTATTCATTCAGCTACTGCAGTTTAAATCATGATTCTTTACAAAATATATTCATACTGATGAACAATCCATATTTAGTGCATTAACTATTTAATCACTGTTCCATTTAATTTCAACTACTTCATCAAAGCAAAAGGATTTCAGCTGTGGCATGCCAACACTTCTTTTATTTTACATTCTTTATTGAGAAGAAACAAATTAAATGCTTTTCTTTTCTTTGTTTTAGTTAGTTGGACAATAAATTATGAGTGGTAACTTACTATTCATTCAGCTACTGCAGTTTAAATCATGATTCTTTACAAAATATATTCATACTGATGAACAATCCATATTTAGTGCATTAACTATTTAATCACTGTTCCATTTAATTTCAACATCATTTTCTGGTGTGATTGCTTTAAACACAATATTGTCCAAATATTAGTGCACACAATAAAAACTGTGACAGAGCAAAAAAAAAATCGAATGAGTTGCCAGTATTGGTAATAATAAATGTAATTAAAATATAATAATACATGCATACATGCATAATAAATGTAATTAAAATATAATAATGCATGCATACATGCATAATAAATGTAATTAAAATATAATAATACATGCATACATGGATAATAAATGTAATTAAAATAAAATTTCAACAAGATAGTAATGAACATTCTGTTACAGATAATTGAAAATATTCTGGTACAAATAACTGTTGAAAATGAAGATCATAGCAGTAATTGGTTTCTGAGGGTGTTCAGCTCATTTGAGTCCTGCTGTGACAGATGCTTGATGACTGGCCACCCTCGGTAACATCTGCATTTGATCTTTTTCTGATGGTTTTCTGACATGTGGAATGAAGTGGGAAAGTTTTTCAAAGTATTTCATTCTTGTGTAATGAAATATATGGAAGTAGGAGAATGTGTGCTCTCTGTATCAACCTCACTGACCCTTTCTTCTTTTTGAAGCCATGCTTGTCAGTTTTTTTCCCCCAATGGCTAGACTTTGATCACCTCTATTTAATGAGGATCTGTCTCTGTTTTGTGCAGTATCTCTGATAGAGAAGAGATATTTTACCCTTCTATTTGAAGCCATAACAGTCCAATTTTCTACGATCGATTTCCTATTGTCCTATAATCCATTTTTACTAGTTGCTATGATTTTACATTTTACACACACACACATATATATATATATATATATTATATGTAAAATATAAATGTAAAAATAAAATGTAAAAATATATTTGCTTTCTATATATTGCAATCCAAGAAAAAAAAAATATTAATGTCTCATTTGAAGAAAAACTTTATTAGTTGTCTGTAACGTGTGAACATAT